TCTCTCACTATAGCTAAGTGTTTCAGGCGGCTAATGCCTTGAGAGGGAGGCAGGGAGGGTCCCCAAGGTTAAGAACTCTTGGCAGCAACTGGGAAGTCCCTGCAATTCTTGCCCCGGGTTCAGCCTGCCATAAGCAGCTGGGGACCCCAGCAAAGTGGGATATGCCCTCATCTTTAAAACAAATTAAACCAAACAACAAAGAGACACAAAAGAACAATCAACAGAGACACTCTTATGTACAATATTTACAGGCGCACACAACCCACAGACAAGAGCTTTACACTGTGCTTATCTGTCCAGCCACAGAAACCTCAGATGTCCTGTGTTAAAAACACACACACACACACACACACACACACACACACACACACACACACAAAACCAAAACAAAACAAAAAAACCCCACTGATCAGGCTTGCTCAGAAGAGAGGCAGGGAAGGCTGGTGCTACACACAGTAAGTGCTTCCCGTGCCTTACATGCAGTGTAAGGAAGGGAATTGCCGGGCTGAGAGTGGGACTCCATAGGAAAATTCCTGGCCACACTGCAAATAGTGTCTCGAATTTCAGCCCCAGGAACTCCCAGTCCAGGCAGCAAGTGGATCCCCAGTACTCACCTCAGAGGAATTCCTCCACTTGTAATCCCACCAGAGTCGCCAGAAAATGATACTGAACAAATGGGTCCAGGCTGCCTATCACTACTTGAACCAATTAAGCAGAGACAGGGTTGAATCATATGAGCATTTATTCCAATAATGCCGGCAGCATGGGAGAGCAGCAGGTCATCCACCAGAAATCTGCTCTAACACCTCCTACTAGCTGGCTGATTATATAGAGATAAGGAAGAAATGCTGCATGCAGGGGGGTGACTGCAGAGTCTGTGGTTCGTGTATCTTCCTCCAGAATTTTGAATTCTGAGAGATAACAAAATAGTCACTTTTCAATGGTGTTAAAACCCACCTCCACCAGCCAGTACCTGGGACGTGAGAATGGTCAGCATTCCTGAGGCAAACTCCCAGAGTGGGTCAGGGTCTAGGCACAGCAACCAAATCAAAGTGCATCTTGTCCTTTGTCTGTTCTCAAAATGCATTTTCTTTTCTGAGAAGTGGACCCATCTGGGTCCCAAGGTGTCTCTTATCTTTTTACACCTCTGTTTTTCTTCTGAGAATCAGGACACTCTGGCCATATAAATTATAACATTGATTCTTTTAAAAGTAACTTGAATACTATACAAGACTACTAAATTTTTCTAGAGAGACTGGATAAAATTGACATAGATAAAATTTACAAGATTTATTCAGTAAAGTACTTCAACTTAGTTTTATCAAATCTTATATTTTCTTTTTTTATAATATTTTTTTCTCAGAATGCTTCATGAATGTCTATTATTATTATTATTATTATTATTGATTTTTAGAGAGAGAAAAGGAGAGGGATAGAGAGAAACATCATTGATCAGCTGCCTTCTGCATGCTCCCTACCAAGGATTAAGCCTGACACCCAGGCATGTGCCCTGACTGGGAATTGAACCAGCAACCTCTTGGTTCATGGGTCCATGCTCAACCACTGAGCCACACCGGCCCAGCAAATCTTATATTTTCCAAGCTGTCTGATCACACTGACTCTAGCATCCTGGACAGCAGCTGGGGTTACAATTATCTTAATGCTTTGGAGCTATCCAAGTCTTGCCTGCAATTCCTGCAAAATCTCTTGTAGTTTCTGCATTATGATCTTACCTCACTAAATGGCTTTACCCAAAGATTGTATTAAAATAAATGGATGTTGTCAAGGCATAGGATGCTCAAAAATAGCATCTGTCTTTTAATAATTGAAAACTAGCATACAATTTCATAAGAAGGGAAGATACTGCAACATTAAAATGTGAAAGTAAAAATGATAAACCAGCGTTTTTCTATTAAGCCAGCCATTAAAGAGATTTGCAAAATGTAAAGCAGTGCCACTCTTCTCACTAAGTTCTCATTTTGGAAAATGGTTATTTTTTTATTTAAAGCATTTTATTATATTAACATATATTGGGTTTATTGTTATTTTAAAATATTTAATATTTTAAATGTTTTAATTTGGGATACAACACAGTAAATATTGATGGACATAACCCATATAAACAAAAGCTCTTTGGGGTCCCATAACCAGAGTGTTTGAGAATCACTGTAAGCTATCACTAAATGCTATAGCCTCTGTCATATTTTTTTAGTTGTGAGAATAGCTTAAAATCCGAATGAATTGCTTACCTTAACATTATGCCGGAATCACACAAAGCTACTTTAACATTTTTTCCCCAAGGCTAAAACACTATTGACAATACTAAATATTCTTATTTAGCACACAATAAGATTGCTGCAATAAAAATAGAAGTTTGAGAACTGGGTGAAAATTAGAGTGATTTTAAAAATTGTCAGCCATCTTTCTTCAACAAAAACACTCTTTGAATATCTGATGCTTTCATATATTAGCACAAAAAATTATTAATATGAGAGGGCAAAGGATTTCAACCTTAACTGCTGCCAGTTTACATCTATGTGACTAAGTTCTTTAAATGTTGTGACAATGAAAAAAAATTGCTTTGATGTTGTAGAGGGAGAAAATTATCAGCCCTACTCATTCTTTTAAAAAATATATATTTTTATAATTTTCAGAAAGGGAGAGATAGAAACATTAATGATGAGAGAAAATCATTGATCGGCTGCCTCCTGCACGGCCCCTACTGGGGATCTAGCCAGCAACCTGGGCATGTGCCCTGACTGGGAATTGAACCATGACCTCCTGGTTCATAGGCTGATGCTCAACTACTGAGGCACACTTTCTGGGTGGGCCCTACCCATTCTTCAATAGAAAAATTATAGTTTTCTTTTTTAATTTAAATTTATTGAGGTAACATCCTATATAATAAAAAGCTAATATGCAAATCGACCCAATGGTAGAATGGCTAGTCGCTATGATGTGCACTGACCACCAGGGGGCAGACGCTCAATGCAGGAGCTGCCCCCTGATGGTCAGTGCACTCCCACGGGGGGAGCGCTGCTCAGCCAGAAGCCTGGCTCACAGCTGGCCAGCGCAGCAGTGGTGGAGGGAGCGCTAAGGATGTCCAACTGATGGCTTAGCCCGCTCCCCACTTAAGCCGTCAGTCAGACATCCCCCAAGGGCTCCCAGACTGCAAGAGGGTACAGGCAGGGCTGAGGGACTCCCCCCTGAGGGCATGATTTTTGTGCACCGGGCCTCTAGTTGGTTAATAAAATTATATAGGTTTTAGGGGTACAATTCTATAATGCATCATCTGCATATTATACTAAAGGCCCAGTGCACGAATTTGTGCATGGGTGGGGTCCCTCAGTGTACCCTGCAGGGATTGTGCCGAAACTGGCAGTCCAACACTACCTGCCACTCCTGCCTGCCACTCCTGCTCATCCCGGCCCCACTGCGCCCAGTCAGTCCTGATTGGGATAGGCTCACCAGCCATGAGCCCTGCATCTGGTGCCCATCCTGAGGCGAGTGGGGTGGGGGTGGGATGCGATCAGCCCTCCGGGTGGGCAGTGGGACGCCCTTGCCATCCCGGGATCCGGATCTGTCCTATTGACATTCGTGCCCATTGTCAGGAACCACCTGGCAGCTGCTTTTATATTGTGTCTTCCTTGCAGAGCATTTAGGGAGGGGAAGTGGCCGCGGTGCCCAAGGCTGACTTCCAGGAGGCCGGTGGTGCTGTTGGGATCATGCCAGCAGTGCTGGTCGTTGGTGCCTGGCCCGTTCTCCGCATATTGGACCTGCAGAACTACTGATGGAGTGAGTGGCTGCCGCCGGGCTGGTGGGCCACCAGGATGGGTCAATCAGCTGAGCGGCACTCCTGCTGTGGGAGTGCACTGACCACCAGGGGGCAGCTCCTGCATTGAATGTCTGCCCCCTGGTGGTCAGTGCGCGTCACAGCGACTGGTCGACTGGTCGTTTGGTCGCTTAAGCTTATATATCTATAGACTAGACACCTGATGCATGAAAATTTGTGCAAGAGTAGACCTTCCTTCCCCTGGCTGCTGGCATCGGCTTCCCTCCAGCACCCAGGACCCAGGCTGCTTCCCTCCTCCTGCCGCCCTCATAATAAAGGGGGGGAAATACCCTAGGAGTGTCACACAACTATATCAGGGGCCCTGGCTGGCTTCCCTCCAACCCCGGCTTCATCAGGAAGGACGTCTGGAATGACGTTCGGTCTAATTAGCATGTTACCCTTTTATTATTATAGATTGTGTGTTCACCACCCCAAGTCCATAATTTTCAATGCTACCTAGCTGCCCAAGGTTTTGTTAAGACTTGTATTTTCTGATTTGGCTTTGGCTAACAGAATCATGCTTGATTGAAGCTTGAGACTGCCAACTTTCAATAGGCTGTTGTTAGTAAAAATGGGAAAGTAAGAGAACGTTGACAAAGGTGCAATGGGAGACAAAATAAAGTGCAGTCTTTAAGGTTGTTAGATAAAAATGAAGACTGAGAACATTTGCAAGGATAAATCTTAACCCTTTTATTGGGGGTGCATGCCCTGGTGTTAGATTTACATCTGTTCTGTATGTTGTAAACACAAAAATTGTACTTGCTGGATTAATTGTAAGGCTCCATACTGCTATTATAATGTTAATGTATTTCTTATAACCTAAAGTTCTCTTTTAGGAAAGTCTTTTTTAAATATATTTTTATTGACTTCAGAGAGGGAGAAATAGAAACATCAATAATGAGAGAGAATCATTGATTGTCTGCCTCCTGAATGCCCCCCTATTGGGGATCGAGCCCGCAACCAGGCAGGTGCCCTTCATGGGAATCGAGTCCAAGACCCTTTAGTCCTCAGGCCGACACTCTATCCACTGAACCAAACCAGCTAAGGCAGGAAAGTCTTTAGTTAGGGGTAAAAAGGCTTACAAAGAAACTGTTTAATAAAGGATGTTAACATTTTACTAAGCAGAAGATACTTGGTTCTCTTCCAACAAAAGCCAAACAGAAAACAATGAGTGTTACTAACATTTTCTATTTATTCATTAATAAAAAGTGCATAGTACAAGCCCTTTATCCCAATCCAAGTACTCAGTAAGAGATTACAATAAACTCTGGATGGCACAGACATGATTTGTTTGGCATGATTAAACATTTAAAAACAGCAATTAACATTTAGCATAGCATATGGCCACTTTCCTTTTAACAAAGTAATCATCAGACATGGTAACAAATACATGACTTTTCATTTAGAAATATTATAATGTTAAAACTAAACCTACTAATTCAACAACAAAAATTTAACTCATTAACTGTAAACTCCCATTTCTCCTTCAAGTTGCTATTTTATGTCTTAAGCTGAGCTGGTCAAAGTTTAGCACATATTCATTTAGAGTGACAGACTTTCATTCCGAGTGAAAAATTTCCAATGTTCCTTTGAAAATGTAAGAATTTGGTTATTCCATAAACACTATCATATTACATACCACACAAAGACACTAAAGGTAACTATGGAATAGCTGAACTTCATAGTTACTTCGGAAAATCTCTACAAGTTGTTTAAAATATGACTTGCTGACCAGGGGACAGTGCTTGGATATCTACATGATAAAATCTTTTACTAAACATAGTTCCAATATTAACTTTTTTTCCAAATGGAAAGCAAAAAACAAACAAAACATTATTTTGCATAAAAGGACATTAAATGGCTCTAAAAATAAATTCTGAATGGCATTTGTGGAATGTTTTAAGAGCCTGCAGTAATTAAAATGTGAAGATTTATTTTTCTTTTTTCCAGATTTAAAAATGCTTGTAGCCATAATTCAGGTGAATGTTTACAAGCCAAGTAATGAATAAGAGTGTGCTTAATAAAAAGGCCACATGTGGAAGCTTTAAGAATTAAAAAGAATATAAATTACTACTTAGGTTAATGGGAATACTTTATATGTAGTAGCACACTATGTTTTTTTAGAACTGCAGATATTTTACAAGCAAAAAACCCAAGACTAAATACTCCATTAAAAACTTTTGTTACTAATTAGATGATCCATATAGGGAAAGGTTAATATTCTAGATGTTCTGTCAATTAAGTGGATGTGACAGAAATGAAGAACTAGGAATAAGAATCCAGATTTCCAGGTCTCTAACTAACACTAGACATTGTTTCCATGTCACAGCCACATCTTCTACCAAAGCCAATTCTCAATTATTTGTGAGCCGTTGATTCAGTGAATACATCAGGATCCGTGCCAGGATTTCTAGCAGTTTAGAGAACAGACTTAGGATGTAGGTGTAAGCCTTCAAAGTTCAGGGGGGCAAGGGCAGAAATAGGAATGCTTATAGGCATTTAGCTCCATCTTACACCATTCCTGCCTGTTCTGCTTTAAATACGATGGTAGCTATAGAGCTGGGAAGGCTTCCAGTACGCCACAGCAAGAGGAAAAACCGTAAGTCTGTGGTATTTATTTATCCAGGATTTGACTTACCTGTGTTACAATACCCTTGATTAGACAAGTAATTAAGAATAGGTTATACTACTTCAAGAAGTTGAGCACAAAGCCAAGATGCACAGGAGGAATGCAAGCAGTCAATATTGGATTATATAATGAAATGAAGCCCTTACAATGTTTATGGCCCAGAATATAATCATAATAAAGGGGGGGGAAATACCCTAGGAGTGTCACACAACTATATCAGAGACTCTTAAACAGTACAATGATTTTGAGAAGTTTATTCAATTCATACAATTTCTCAGATCAATACAGTGAAAAGCTAGACAAGTCTAGGGGGGAACTCCTTACATTGATAGCAAAATTTCTTCTAGCCCCCATAAATCCTCTGTAATCACTTGCTAGAAAAAAATTCCATAACCACATAGGTGATGCCTTTTTAAAATGCCAGTTGTATTCATTTTCTTTCAAACTAACCAAAACAATGCAACCTTTTACTTTTCATACAGTTCAAAATTTTGCCTATATTTCCCCACCCCAATCATTCCATTACCAAAATAAGAATGAGATACAGGGTAAGAAAAAAATCCTTGATTGTTCCTCATTTTTCTCCTTTTCCCTTGGAGTAAACCAAGAATTTAATAAATATTTTTAAAAGTCAGAAGGACCACAAAATACTCAAAATTTATTTTTCTTCAAAGGAAAATAGAGTAAATAAGCAAATAGTATTCAAATGTCAGTAAGCAAACAGGCTCCCCATACAGTTAGCTTTAAGAGTTTCATTTAACAGGGAAGTGTCTGAACAAAAAGGAAGCTTTCTGAGAGGCACTCATTTAAGAAATAAATTACAGATTAAATTATTACTGAATAGATTATACCTGGCAAAGGCAAAAAGAATTAACTATTTTCCTCCTTTCATGAACCTTGTAAGGCTAGTTAATATACAGTGGCTTCATATGTCATATAATGGACTGAAAATCATCCACCATATTTAAATCACGTTTATTTAAAGTTTTCGTAATATTAGACATTTTTATGGGAATGAAAACCTTAGTAAACAGTTATATAATTTATTCTCTCCTCCTTTTCTAGTCACATAAGCCAGTTGTAATGGATGATGCAGATTTCAGCTGTAACTTGTAAAATATTCCAAAGGCTGCCACAGTCCCAAGAACTGCTACCCACACACAAATAAACTACCAAGGTAAGTAGAAATATAGTGTGGTTTTAATTTTCTTTCATAAAACCTCAGACAACCCCAAATAACTTTATAAATAGCCTATGAAAAAAGCAACCTTAAAATCTATCAAAACTATTTAAAATATTTAAATGCAGAGATCTTAAATTTCCTTCAATCAGGCCAGAAATCATCACCAAAATTGTGATCACAGTTACAAACAAAATGAATGGAATGTTTGAGTTTAGGGTAACCAAAAAGCCCATGTAATTTTTTTAAAATATAATCATTTACTCAAATACACCGTGAATAGGAATGGTGATAACACAGGAGGCAAAAATAAGCTTGCAAATGAAATGTCTAGAAGCTCATGAAAACAATACCATCCCATACTGCAGATGCAAAAGGAAGAACAGTTCTAATGGGGTTAAGAGTACTCTGGTCATCTTCGTTCATTTGGTCGTGCAAGGTGTTAACTATTTTCACTTCCCATGTCGCAAAGTTAGTCCACAGGAGGGGCTGGTGGATCTTGTCCCTGTATTGGAGAAAAATTATAGAATTGACTTATTAAATCCCAGTGCAACCAATCTAACACATTTAGTAAGAACTGAGCAGCAGTGTCCCCCAGCTTCCCATCTCAAATCATATCCTTACTAGGATTTTTTCATATGGTTTTGCACAAGGGAACACTAGATTACTAGTGTTTCACCAATGTTTGTCTCATTCTTCCCTGTGCTATGGAAGAAAGGAAAATTGCTTAACAGTGGTATGTTTTGGATGAAACTGCTCTCCCTAACAGCTCCAGAGGTGATATTCAAACTAATAAAGGTAGTCTCTTCTCTCTTGCTAAGGTGATGGATTGAGTACAGTACAAAATGAACTCGAGACTTGTTTCTCACTACAGAATGTCAATGAGGACGCACATGGCTCCAGATGCTACTGGCAGCTATCTAATGAGTACAGAGGGAGCCCATCTTGGCATGAAGCTGATGGAATGATGAAAGAATTGTCTTTGATGGCACTGTTAAACTTTCTAAACACTGACTCTACCTCTGGATTTTCTGATGTGTAAACCAATAAAGCACTTATTTAAACCAGGTTGAGCTGATTTTTATAACTTGCAATAGAAAGCACCTGAACTGTAAAGGGAATATCAGCACTCCAGGAATCTTCAGGAAGATTATATTTATTTACTCTGACATGCTATGAGGCTCGAGGAGAGGGTGGTCAATTTTTCTACTTGGAATTATTCGATATGTTTTCTTGCTTCTTAGAGCACTGGGACTACTACTACTAACAATGACCTAAGGCTCAGAGGGCTGTAATCTTGTCATTTTTAATGGCTTCTAAATTAGTTTATTAAATTGGATTTCTTTAGCTCCAAGCGATGAGGAGGTAGATCTTTGATATAAAATAAAAATGTATATAGAAAGTAAGAAAAAGGGCTAAGGAGAAAGCAATTTATCAAGACAGCTGTTTAATGGCTAATCCCCTCTCCAAGACAAAAACAAAAATAAATTTAAGGCTTTTTTAGATAGTGCTAATGAGGCCTTCTTTCTTAATTGAAGTCAGCATGTTATATATCTAAATGTTCTAATCCTAAAAAAACTAAAGCACTGACCAATTAACATTGCACATTTGCTTTCTCTTGCATAAGAAATTAGGTTAACTGAACTTTTTTATATTAACAACACAGGATTAAGGAAAAGAAGCAATTATTTTAGGAATTCCACATGGTGAAGGTTAAAGGAATTTGTGGGATAATTTGATATTCAACAAATGAATCCATCACAGAAATATTTTAAAAGAGATATCCAAATTGAATGAAAAAATAAATAAATAAATGCTGGTTCTGAAAATGATGAAAAGGGATCCTTTAATGGAGGTTCTAGTAAAGACAGTACCGAGAACTCTGTACTGTGTAGAATTCTAGTAGAAGTAGAATTATGAAGTATTACATTTTCAATTTCCCTTTCCTCTTGTGAGAAAACATGATGAAGTGATGTTTTTCATATAGAAAATTCTAAAAATGGTTTTAATCATGATTATCAAAATTTATCGATATGGGTGATTCCTACCTCTGCTTTTGCCAGCTCAGTTGATTATTGTGATGCAGAATCAGAAAAATGAGTTTGAGAGAAATAGGATGGGAAAACAGGATTTAGCCAGATAGATTCAGTGTCTTTACTGTATTTAATAGCTAGAACAGAGGGGAGAAAATGGAGTGTGGGTAAAACCATTTCAATTGCAGCTAGTAAGAGAATTCAGGGAGCTGGAAACATGACAGGCAAAGAATCAACTGAGAGGTGGATAGAACTGGGGAAGAGGACTGAGATCTGAGAAATATTGCTGTAGATTATCATAAGCTGAATCATTTTTAATGTTTCTCGTGTGAGTGAAAATTGGAATTCATTTTAAATTATTTTTGGGCTACTATGCTTATCTCTGTATGTAAACGCTATGAACACAAAGCCATTTGAGGTTGCAAGATTTACTAGGATGACAAAGGAAGAACTTTAACTTACTCCACGAATTAAATCTTCCTTTTGCTAATTCAGATCTTTCAGTCAAAACAAACTCCCCCCACCCCCTTTTCATGCCATTACTCCCCCACCCCCCCAACCTCTTCAAATGGGTTTCTAATCAACAGCACTTACATTATGAGGACTGGTTGGCTTCCCAGTTAGATTGGATCCTCGAAGATTAGGAGGTCTCAGTAGAAACAAGATCAATGCAATTACCATCCAGGCCATTAAGATCATGGTAATACTGATGCCATTATCACCAGAGGGTCCTGGTACTAAAGACAAAAAAAATATTTGCAACAAAAACTGGAGCATGATTATAATATTGTTAGATAAATGTAAAAACAATTATGTTTAAATGTTAACTTCAAAAACTGTAGTAATATAAAAAACTGTAGTCATAATTTAGAGAAGTAGAATTATGAAGTATTACATTTTCAATTTCCCTTTCCTCCTGTGAGAAAATCTAGATGGTAAATTGTATAAAATAGTCAAAAGCCAAAACCTACTAAATTAAGATTTTTAAAAAATATATATTTTATTGATTTTTTTACAGAGAGGAAGGGAGAGGGATAGAGAGTTAGAAACATCCATGAGAGAGAAACATCCATCAGCTGCCTCCTGCACACCCCCTACTGGGGATGTGCCTGCAACCAAGGTACATGCCCTTGACTGGAATCGAACCTGGGACTCTTCAGTCCACAGGCCGACGCTCTAGCCACTGAGCCAAATTGGTCAGGGCTAAATGAAGATTTTAATAGTGTAGTTCTTTTTTTTTTTTTTTTTTTTCCTTTTAAAGGGGGCCACTTCTTTTTCTATTCTTTTTTTTTTTTTTTTAAATATGTTTTATTGATTTTCCACAGAGGAAGGGAGAGGGATAGAAAGTCAGAAACATCGATGAGAGAGAAACACCGATCAGCTGCCTCCTGCACACCCCCCACTGGGGATGTTCCCCACACCAAGGCAACATGCCCTTGACCGGAATCGAACCTGGGACCCTTGAGTCCGCAGGCCGACGCTCTATCCACTGAGCCAAACCGGTTCTGGCAATAGTGTAGTTCTTAATATCTTGGAATAGAATCCTTTGAGAATTTGATAAAAATTAAGGGGACCCACTTCGCTGTAAATATCTATGTATACAAATTCAATAATTTTGCATATAATTGTGGAAAGTTCATTGTCCCACAAAGCCATTAATCCAGATATATTGAGATCTATGGAACCCAGGTTAAAATTATCTGATATACAATAAAGACACTTACTTTTGGGGAAGGAGGAGTTCTGCATTTTAATTACAGAAGCAGCAAGAAAAAAATAACAAAGCTTAAGGAAAAAGGAACATCTGAGTTATATAATATATAGATTAAAGATCCCTTTAATGATATTCTCAAACAAAGAGATATTAATTTGGCCTTTTTTTGCATAAAGAAGTTGGATTCAGAGCTAGATATTTTAAAGTCTATGCATTTATCAAAAGAAATGTCAGCCCTAGCCATTTTGGCTCAGTGGACAGAGAGTCGGCCTGGGGACTAAAAGGTCCCAGGTTCGATTCCGATCAAGGGCACATGCCCAGGTTGTGTGCTCAATCCCCAGTTAGGGGGCGTGCAGGAAGCAGCTGACCAATGATTCCTCTCATCATTGATGTTTGTCTCTCTCTCCCTCTCCCTTCCTCTCTGAAATCAATAAAAAAATAAAACAACAACAAAAATATTCCACATATTAAAAAAAAAAAAAAAAAGAAATGTCAGGTGTGCGTATGTATATATCATTTTTCTCTGCTCCTTGAGGCAGCCATATTTTATTTCATTCAAAATAACAAGTACCTACCACAGTGCCTGGCTCATGGTATGAGCTTCAAAAACTTCTAATAAATGAAACAAATTTTTACTGTACTATATTAGAAAATTCAATTATCAGAAATGAAAATTACAGAAGATTAAATTTCTAAGCATAATATCTCTAGTTGGTTATTAAAATAGGCTGTCAAGACTATAACTGTTGCCCTAACCGGTTTGGCTCAGTGGATAGAGAGTCGGCCTGTGGACTCAAGGGTCCCAGGTTCGATTCCGGGCAAGGGCATGTACCTTGGTTGCGGGCACATCCCCAGTGGGGAGTGTGCAGGAGGCAGCTGATTGATGTTTCTCTCTCATCGATGTTTCTGACTCTCTGTATTCCTCTCCCTTCCTCTCTGTAAAAAATCAATAAAATATATTTTTTTAAAAAAGACTATAACTGTTTGGTTTTGTTCTCCTTGCCTCAGGAAAAAGTAAAAGAAACCCATGCAAGATGCATTGCACTGGGGTCCCTGGGGCCCAGGACTCACTCCCAAGAAAGTGAAGGCCATGAGGAGTGGCATTGCTAAGGCCACAAGATTAGTGACCAAAGGGGACAGTCAGGCAAAGGGTTGAGCTAGCCCAACAGCAGGCTGGATAGGAATGTAGCCTCGGTCTGTTCCAACCCCAATCACTTCCCCAGAAACAGCTAACATAGTATTCAGTCACCAAAACTGCATTACTCATCACACAATGAATCAGCAGGTTTTTTTCTCTATATACATCTTTTCCTTGGTTCCCTCCTATTATACTAAATGTGCCTCTTTTATAACTAAAACCAATTTCTCCACTTGAGCTTTGGATCCCATTGCTCTTACAGAGGATGCACTATCTTCTCTCTAGTGTATTCAACACCCCTTTCTCCATTGCAGCCAACCCAGAATCACTTAAATGTGCTCAAGTTTACCCCATCTTAAAAAAAAAATCCTCATTTCCCCTATCTTAACCCCTTTCCCTGAGCTAATATCTTGAGAACTGTCTACAGTTCACTACCTCCCATCACGGCTCTGGTTGGTATCCACCTCCATTGTCATTTGAACAGCTTTTCAAAAGGTCACCTATGACACCGCCATCAAATGTTCTTAAACTGTGGTATACATCAGAACCATTCAGCAGCTTCTTAAACTAAAATAACAAGCATTTCCCCTGTCCCACCTTCTATGTCCCACCAAACTGGGTCTCCATTCATTCAGCTGCCTTGGCCAGAAACCTATGAGAATATCTTTTGTTCTCTCTCAATGATCTTCTATTTAACACATCATGAGTTTTCTGTCAATTTTACTACCTTAATATCACTCAAATCTGTCCAATTCTAGCTCTGCTCCCACACTTGCTCTAGCTACCTTCACTTCTTGTCTGGTCTATTGCAATGGCCTCCAGAAGATCTCCCCATACCTACTCTTGCCTCCTTTAATTCTGTGCTATATGCTGATCCAACAGTGATTTTTAAAAAGCAAATACTATTTATTATTTCATTACTAAACAGCAAAAATTTCAGTGGTTACTTTGAACCAAGTATTCTCTCTCTTAATCCATTTAACAATTTTATTTTATGGTAGGTACTATCATATCTTCATTTTATAGATGAGGACACTGGGGGAAAAGGGATTAAATTCCAATGTCATATAGGTGATATGTGGCAAAGCTGGGACTTCAATACAAGTATTCTCATTCCAGAACCTGTGCTCTTGACCTCTTTGCTATGTCATAATCTCTGACAATATCACATAGTGAGGCAGACTTCTGAAAATTATTAGAACTGTAGGTAGTAAAGTTGGAAAATACAGATTTAAAAATAATTTTTTATAAGAAAGCTTATAACTACCTGTTAAGTAAAACTAGATTTAAAGTTAGCCAAAGAAAGATAGCTGTACATTATCACCTTATAGTGTCCCTCTCAGAAATAAAGTATTAATTGTATAAACCAAAAGTGTAACTCCAATGCCAATTCTTATTTTATTCAATTTGAAAAATGAATCCTTTACTTTTTTATATTCTTTGTAAGTAAAAGATTCTGAAGCTTCAGAGTTGAACCTCAGATCACAAATTTACTAATTCATATTTCTGGACCAAGCAGCCCTGACAAAAGGCCCACTCCTTTTTAAAACTCTCATAGTGATAATATGACACTTGGTTCCCTGTAACTGTCTCGTAGCTTGGTTCCTATTGCAGCCTTTCCTTCCTGCATTTTGCTGCCAGAAAACTGCTCTTAACACATCTCTGCTGACCAACCCAGTGACTCACTCTGTTGCTTCCACTCTGAACTCTTTCAGCCTGGCCCTTCCTAAGATTTGACCTATTCATCAATATGAACTCTTATCATTTCTCAGAAAAAGCATCCTTTGTCAACCCTATACCTTCTCTTTAGCCAGTGGTTCCTAGTCTGCCTGTGCATCAGGATAGCCTGCAACAATATCAACACCACAGATTCTAATTCACACCATCTAATTCAGAAGCAACTCAGGGGTGGGGTAAGGAACCAACAATATTTTCAAAGCTTTCCAAATGAATCTGATGCAATAGTTCAATACTGGTTTGGCTGACAGCATTTGCCAACTTTGCAAACTCAGCCTTGGGGTACTCATTATTTTTCCCATCTGACATGTTCTTATACTAGTATACAACCTCTATTTATTCTCCTATATCCTACATCCCTCTCTCTCTTCTGTAAAAATTTCCATTTTCTCTGACCACTCTTTCCTTTCTGCTCTGGACTAGTATAGCATTTCTAGTTTAAAGAAATGGTTTCCTATTTCTCCTAATTAAGTCATTAACTTTTTAAGAATTGAGACCACCTCTTAGCTATGTAATCCATGCCTCAGTTTCTTTAGCTGTGAAATGGAAATACTACCATCATCTCAGAGAGTTGTGAAGGTTGAAATGATCAGTACACGAAAAGCAGTTAGCACCATGCCTGGTACACAGTAGGTATTCAATAAACATTAGCCATTACCAGTATTAAGGTCAACTACAGCACAGAAATGACTGAGTGCAGATGGATCCTAGTGGGAATAACTAGCCTAGATAAGATGGTGAAGTGGGAATGGAAAAGGGTCAAATACAAATGGTGTTAGGATGGAAGAAGTACACTTGGTGATTGACTAGAATGGTGGTAGGAGGAGGAAGAAAAAGAAGTGAAGGACGCCTCTAGACAAGGGGTGGAGAACCTGCCCTCAGACCATATAAGGCTCATGAAATCACTTGGTCTGGCCCTGCCATGGCATTAGGGGTGAGTTAATTGAATGTCTGACCAAATATAGCAGGCTAATTTTTAAGTTGTTAATTTTGTAAGGCCCATGAATGATGTTATAAATATACAAATGGCCCTTGGCAGAAAAAAGATTCCCCACCCTTGCTCAAAGGGTAGTAGTATGCAGTCGAATTTCTCCATTTAAAAGGCTAAATGGATATAGTTTTCCTAACCTCCAAGGTTTAATAAGATC